AGGTATTGTGCATTGTATGGAACTGAGCTGGCCGAAAGGGACTGATAAGAGCATACAAGTCCCAGCTCTGCATTGGAAAGTTATCATCTGTTGGCTGCCTAGCATCCCCCTTGAAGCGAATTGAGTGGTTTTAGTGCAGTTGTTAGCAGGCCACATCTCCAAAAGGCCATCACAGTAACAAGCAAGTTTGTTGGCTGTTTGGCAGACACCAAGGCTGAACAGATGCTGGGACTGAACTACCTTTTCTTCACTGGAAACAGTGATGTTTCTTTTCGAAAGAGTACAAACATGAGAAGGCCGATGCAAACGAAAAGACTTCCTGAGGCCAGCRAACATCAGAGAATGCCCTGGCAGATGGCAGGCTACAGAACCTGTCCTTAGTTTCTGTAATCCAGGGGTTTTAGTATCTTACTTTTATTAGGTTGCCATTATCTCTAAAAGCTTTGGGTTTGTTTTACCTGATAGGATCACCCTCAAGTATTTTAACGTGGAAATACTAATGGTATCTTCACACCACTTCCCTCAAAGCCACCTGAAGGACACATCTCCCCTGCCCAACAGCTGCCGCCTCAGTGGATGCGCATGGTGGAAGCTTCTCCTAAGATCAGTCTGTCACTCAAGGACAAGGAATTACCACATTACTCATCCTGTGCTTCTCTTACAAAACAGAGAGGAAAGACGAATGCCGAGCAGCAGTGGTTTCTCACGCCTGGTGGAGATAGTGCCTAATTAGCTGCTGATCAGCAGCTCTCACAATGGGTCACTGTTGCCACTCATTATTTTTATTGAAAGTGATGATTTGTCACCCAAGCCTACTGCAACAATATGCTTGCTGCCTTATGCTTGTGCAGCAGGTTTAGGCCAGGTCTTAGTCATGCATGGGCTTTTTTTAATAGAATAACACATTTAGAAAGAGGTCTGAATTTTGTGATGCACCACTGACTAATGCTTGCCCAAGGAGATGCACAAGCAAGACGACAAACACGGGGCCGCGGGTCTCTGAACACTGAATTCTGAATAACTGTGGTGTTATTCACCAATACACTGCAGCAACAAGATGCTAAACGAACATAKACATCTATGTTCAACATGCTCAAGTAGGACCTCTTTGTTAAGGAATAGTAAAATTAATACTTTTGCACTCATATATATATTACACACCCACACACAAACGTATCATGCATATGCTGCACTTAGGCATCAATCATTTGCAGAATAATGCAGCAAAAAAAAATCATTAACTCTCAGTGTCTCAGCTTAATATATGTCTAATACTTACCTATCTCACAGGAGTGTTGTGAGGCTTAATTAATTAGTGACTGTAAAGCACTTTGTGATCCTCTAATGAAAGGTGCTACATAGCACAAAGTATTATTAAAATCATTAGGACCACAAAAAAGCCCTGTGGAATTCCAGCCTACACTGTCTGTTGGGGTTGGGAGTGATCTTATTATTAAAAGGAGACCATCAGGCTAATTTTCATATTTTTTTCCAAGGTCTTTTTTTCCCCTTTACTGTTGTGATACCACGTTAGAGGCTAAAAATTTAATCTTATCATCTTAATAACATACACTCATGTAGTTTGTTACTGCAGGGCTAGAGAAGAGAACAGGGTTTTTGGCACTCATCTGGCTTTCCCTTTTAGGAAAAAAAATTGAGAGCCATATTTTGACACCTTCCCACACTCCACCCCACCAGGACAGCTGATCATGTGAGATCTCAGGATACTCACTAGAGTCGCCTGGGAAAATACGGCTGTGGTTTTAATTTCTCTCTCGTTCTTTTTTTCTTTTTCTTTCACAGCAAAAACACAAGACACCAAACAAAACCCAGCCTATTACATATAAATGTGCTACAAAGACTGTCTGCTGCRCTTTAGACAAAAAAAAATCTTTTAAGTGTCCAAAGTGTCTGGCTCTCTACAAGTGCATCAAGTTCTAAGAGATTTGAAGTCTTCCTCCCTACATTCCCCACTCTTCACTTACGCAACTGTAAAGCAGCTATAATGCTCYAAAGCTAGATAGTTCCTGTCTTGAGAGGGTGATTTTCTGTAAAACTGTTTTCGGAGAGGGCTCCTTCCCCTTGGCAGCCACTCTGCACCCAGCCCTCCTTGTTGGGCTCTCTTGACAGGCACAACAAGGAAGTCAACGAGCTCATCAGGATAGACCAAAGAGCAAAGCCTGCCATCTTTTTTAATTYAAGTAAGTATTTCTCAAAATAAATTAAAAAAAAAAAAATCTGTAATTACACCGAGTATTCCGGATGAAATTGCCCTGTGCTKCCCTCACTGGGAATCTCAAATTTTGTGCCCAGATTTACATTAGACACAAGCCACCCCACAACACAGAACAGAGTGAAATAGGACCAGCTGAAGCTCTCCAATTCTTATGTGAAAACTTTAACGCTGAACTAACAAAAAATGAACATATATCGATTCCAGTAGCCACCATCCTTGGCCATCCTTGCATTTCCTCCYCAGCTTTAATGGTTCTCAGACAAGCGTGGCTGGAACCAGCTGAATTAAGGTCTTCACCTTTTTGTGCTGAGAAGCGAGGGGAACAGCAGCCACTTTTCTGCAAGGAACTCAAGAACCAGGCCCTAAACCAAGAGAGGGCAAAAAAACCTTAATTAGAAGCAACTTTCTCCTCAGCAAGGCAGCTTCCCCCCTCTTTGCAACACTTTATTCTGATGCACCATGCAAGAAGGCTGTAAAACAAGTGATGTCAGGGCCTCAAGAGAACCGACAGGCTAACACCAAAGTCCTTTTGAAGCTCCACACATTTTTCCTACAAGCCATACAGCTGCATGCCCAGCCTTTGCTGCATGGCATGGCTTAGAGCAGGGCAGGCCTCCTAGTATCAGCAAAACTTGCCAGGATCAGACATTTTGTTTGGTAAAAACTTGAAACTCCACCATGCTGCTCCACTGAAATTACATTAGCTTAATCAGTCTGGAAAACATACAGATCTATCCAAGCCTCATACATCTTATTGGTAAAACAGTACTGAAGGAACATGATGTTGTTTTCACCCCCTTCTCAATATTCAGACTCTCTCATTCAGTCACTGATCACCAACTACCAAAAGCTTTCTGCATTTTTTTAAATGAAGTTTACAATAAATAGGCAAATGAAAAAAAAGACCACATTCAGTCATGCCCCTTCTATTAGGCTATTCTACAGAATAATTCTATTATTCTATTATCCTATTTGAATTTATTTTCTGAACATTGACCACTATCAATGATCAGAAATGTCACTCAATGTCACTTGGGACATCTTAAATCCTGTGGAGACAGAAAAAGTCATTACTCTCAAACAACTCTCAACAAACAAATCTTTTATTAATTCACCTTAAAATATTTCTAAACTATTTTTTCTATCACCATATGCTTCAGARCACTTCACACAGTAGTCATGTAACCACTGGTATAAATCTAACCCTTTCTATGGGATAAAATAGGCAACTTGGCTATTTCTGGAGTGTGAGGCTTTACGTTCCTGAAATATCTCTCACCTGTGTTCTACAATTTGTTGTTATGTAAGGCCAGAATTTAGGGGTAGTTTTCAAAACAGACTGTTTGACCCTCCTTACAGGCAGTTATTTCATTTTAAGCTCACTGCCTGGGTAATCTTGCAGACACCTTCAGAAGAAAGAGAAGTCAAAAGGTGATTTGCCTAGAAAGGCCACGTGGGAGGGAATGTTTTGCTACTCTCCACCAAAATCAGAGCTCAAAACTGCTGCTTTTATTAGGTTTTATTATTTTATYAGCTCCAACTTGCTGCTCTGCACTTATTACTGTTGTTACAGTAATCTGCTTGTTACAGAAGGTTACCTCCTACCCCTAGCAGACCATGGCCACTCAATCCTACAGCAAGGGAGCTGATGAAGGCAGAGATTGTTTTGCCCTGGCTTCCAATCAAGCATCTAAAACTACTCTGTAAACCTAAGAACCCAATAAACCTCAAAGAACCTGGTGAAACAGGACAATTATTGTTACTGCCATTTTACAGATGAATAAAAAGATCTACAGAGAGATGCAAAAATATGTTCAAGGTGACACACAGGCTAGGTTCTTAGCAAGGGACCAAGTCGAGTTTCTCTTGACTTCAGGGCCACTTCCCTCTACTGTACGTATTCCTGTGGAGAGAGCATGAAGCCAGTGCTTGGCGAAAGGCCAAGATTCTGTAATTTAATAAGGTACAGAAAGAGCACCTTGTGCAAAAGTCTAAATGCTCCAATTTATCATGACAGTTATGAGATAAGCTGACATTTTATTTGTATGCAAATTAGTCTCCAAAATAGCATAAAAAGGCCACACTTTCACAGAGTATTGTGCCTTTGCTTCTCTGCCCTGCATGTATCTAAACCCAGCTTTGTGTATTAAAGTTAGTTTAWTTTTTACATATTGATGCCATTTTGCATGCTCCCCAATCTGTTGTTGATGTGCTGCAGAGAGACTCCAGCCTGATTTGCTTACTGCAATCAAATAACTCACTTATGCCAGTACTGCCACCGCCTATGAGAGACACTGCCTCACCACCTTACTGAATTTTCTGGTTTTTCTATTAATTTGGTGTG